TCATTTTGTGCAATACAGATCTGTTAGAGAAATAAATGATAACTTGATGCCAAGTTAGATAATATAGACTAAGGTTGAATTTGTGGCATTATCCCTGATATGAAAAGAATTAGAGATCTTTTGCAAGAGTGGTAGAGAGTCATTTTTTTCCTTCTTTTCTTATATAAAGTATGGTGTTTGGTCATAAAGATGCAGCAACAAAGTGATAAAATACTACAAAGAGCCTGTGATAATCATGACTTCAAAAAAAGTCTTTTTTGATCGCAAATGAGTGTGCATATTTATCCCTTAAACCACACCACTGCTGATTGCTTTTCCAGTATGAAATCTCCAAGCTTTTCATGTAAAGGACCCCTCTGAATGTTTGTAATAAAGTAACAGTGCTCTGGAGTAAGATTCAGGTTTCCCTTATACCAGATGCTGAATACACTTTTCATAAGATCTCAGCTTTTTTTCTGGTGGTAAATGGACCTAATCCAATTTTTTTTCAGGCCTGAACGACTGCTTATCTGGTGCATAACTCATTATCCCCTTTTCCAAGGAAGACAATTCCCAAAAGTGATGCTGAAGTGATTACAAAGATATCATTTCTTTGAATTAGTGAGGATTCTTAGCTGAAAACTGACTTTACTGAACCCAAGCTGCTAACTTTTTTGGGTGAAACTGCGGGTCCTGCCCAAGTGCTCCAGGCCCCTTCAACCTATTGCTATAGACTGGATTCTAGTGGCACTGAAAACAAAGACAGACAAAAGGCTTCTGAGCAACAGTGATATGAGGAGTTACCTCTCCAGTACTGCTCCTGGATTTGATCCGTTGATGGCTGCAAAATCGATTGAGCTCTCGTGCAATGAATGTATAGTAATTCTGAGATGCTCAATTAATGTGGGATTTGCAGTTCTGTGGCATTTGCAATGGTTCTGACATTTTAATTAAAACTGGGTTGTATTATTATTTTGCTTTCTCTTACCTTTATACACTAAATTCAACATTATGGCACAGGAGGTGAAATAGAGAGTACCAGTAATTGACTCCTTTGGGACTAAGTGCTTGTGGAGCAATTTATGCGTAAAGGTAACTAACCTGATGCTGTTAGTGCCTACTGTGAGTTTCGTTTAGTAATTGGCTTTACACATAGATGGCTCCAGTAGTGCCTAGTCACAAAGAATTCAAAATCTATTATTACCTATTTCACCTGTTTACCCTTTTCTATTTTTTTTGGAAATATTTTCTTTTGTCTTATATTGACAATAGTAATGTTCATGACAGTATAATAATTATAATGTCTACTACAAAAATAACAGCATTGATATTGATAGCACTAGTAAAAAAAATCAAACAAAAACAAAAGAACAAGGAAAGATAGAATCAGATGAGGTCATGACATCTACTTATTGACTCCTTGGTGGTTGAGTACTTGTGGAGCCATCTATGTGGAGACATTTCACTAAAAAAACTCAAGTGAACACTACATTTTCTTAGGAACATAGGATTGATAACCTAAACTCCTGCCATCCCCTGCAGCATTGGGTTAATAGTGGAGGAAAATTTTTGATGACAGGGATAACTGTATAATGTTATTTACATGGAGATTGCTATACATCATGAGATCTAATATAAAGCATGAACTAGTGTCTTGGTTAAGGACTTGACTATTCCTCTTCCAGATTACTTGTAAACTAACCTGTGTGATCTCTAAACATTGGTCCCCATTTTCACCCTCATGATTTTAGAAGGCTATGACATAAGTTAAAATAATTTACTTGTATGGCACTTCTGTAACACTAACATACAAAGTAAATACCTCTTCTACCTCACACTTTCAAAATGTATCAAAGCATTCACTAGAGATTTTTCTAGAACAATTCCTAATAAAAGGTTGAACAAAATATAACCCAACAACTGTTATTCCTGATTAATTGTCTATAACTTCAAACTATAACTTGAATCCCTGAATAACAAATATTTTCCAAAATATAGATCAATATTTGTAAGAAGTAACTTTAATGGCATAAAATTAAAACATCCAACAAAAGGAAAGTTATTTATTATTCACATATCTTTAACACTGGGTTTTCAAAAAACTCCTAAACATATAATTCAGTGCTTTAACATTTCTCTAATGTGGATCTAGGATACTTGATAGAGATTCAATACTTAAATAAATTCCAGCAGTTATGATTTCCAGAAAAGGAGTACTAATAATTAAACCACTTGCTAATATAGCAGAATCATAAAACAAGACCATTTCTCTTGAATCTCTAAATAACAGAATTGTAATCTCACTATGTATTATCTTTTCTTCATAAAAAAAGAAGAAGCTCTGATATCAAACTTAAGAAAATTATTGCTAGTAAATGTACCATTAATGAAAACAAATAAACCAGTACTAATGTAATTCTTGCATAATTACATTTTTTTTTAGTAAAAGCTTTCATGTAATACAGGAAAAGAAAGAAAAGAGATAGATGACTAGTTTAGAAAATGCCATCATCTGATATCCAAGGTACAAATATGAAATTATCATTAAATAACTTTATCTTATCTAGTCAATTTATTCATAAAATATTGCACATTTTTCTTACAAACATGAAACTTGCACCACTAATTTCACAACATAAGCATTTAAACTTTATGTAAATAACATGAATAATGAAAATAGTTTTACACTGCTAACTACTACAGGACACTTATTTTTTCACAATAAATCGTATTGCATGTTTCATAATGCCAAGGCACACAATAAACCCCTATTGTCTGTAGGGATTACACTCTCAAAATTGGTTTACAAACAAGTAAAAGAGAATGTCCTTTAATAACTAATCTACTCAAAACCAATATGTTCATTCACTTCTCAATCATAATATAAATCTACCCAGGAAAAGAACTAAGGTCTTCATATTCATGTCTACTGACTGTAGCTACCTACTCTTGCTACAAATACCTACTTTCCCGTTGTGATTCACATTTATGTACCTTCAATAAAATACAGACAAGATTATAATACAATGAACAGAGAACAGTAACCTCACAGTAAACTAAGAAAAGGTAACTCTGAATGAACAACTTTCATTGTGACAAATGATGAAAAGGGTGTAGATGAAATGGAAAAAAAAATTGCCAGGCAAGCTATATAAGTGATGTTTTGGTATCACATCTTCTTCAAAAATCATATAATTCTGAGGATGTAATACTAAAATGCCAAGTGTATTACAAAATTATTTGTTCTTTTGTATCACTGACTTTTTGTAAAACCTTATTTTCACTTAAAATGACAGAAAAAAAACAGTACAAGATGTTCCTGTATTAAGCAACTTTCCTATAGGAACGAATCAGATTTTTTATTGCTTTTAGAATTCACTTCATGCTATATGATATTAGCTGATGATAATGTGATCTATTATTTCAACCTGATGTGGAAAAAAATATGGATCCTAATGATTACCTTCATTGCTTTATAAAATATATCTGATCCATCTTAACTCTCTGTATAGCATTTTTTTCTAATTGATAGATAGGAGGAGGTTCATGGAAGCTCTATTTTAATTCTAAATATATAAAATTGTGTAAATAGCATCTAATACATTTTGTGGTCATTAACTCCTTGGTCATGGATGGCATGAAATCATGCATTGGCTGTGGTGGACTGAGTTGCAAATGGCACAGCATCTTGACATACCCCGGCTCATCAGAGGGAGCTTGACTATTCCAATGGTAGCAACAGCATTCATTTGGTGGCACTGTTACATACTGGCAATTAACCCATTGCCACCGGGGAAAATGAACAAAAAATGGGGGAAATGCAGTACTCATTTTTTATATTTTTTTGAAATATCTCTGTCCATAGATGAAATTTTAACAGCAAATTAGGATAACGTTAAATATTTTCGTAAATCGATGAAAAGGGTGAACGGGCGAGACAGGCAGTACTCGTAATTGGCTCATTGGATACTTAGTACAAGTGTAGTCATCTATGTGTAAAATCAATCGAACAAGTCGACTCACAGTGGGCATGGCATGTACGTACATGCCATCCCCGGCGGCAATGGGTTAAAGTGAAGGGAAACCTTCACTTTCTCAAACTTATTTATGAAATACAACTATAAGCTATTAGGTGCCTAATGCTGTCCATGAAGTACCAAACAAGCCAAATGGAGGAAACTGCTAATGCCCACCAGTAACCTACATAACTGGCTACAAGCCAATTTTTAATAACACAGTTAATGGGTTAATTCTCTACTGACTGTAAGTTTGCAATTATTCAAAGATAATATCATCAATAAAAAAAATCAAAAGTTATCAGCTGACTCCTCTTTACAAGCACAAAAAATAAATCATAAAAGCATGTAGCACATCCTAGTCGAAAATAAATCCTACTTTAAGTAGTAAGTTTGAAATAAATTCATTAAAGATATTTATTTACCATCTTCCCCAGTTATCTTCACAAACATCTTTTAAGTAGGAAACACCATAACATAGTGACTGCCATTAATATTTGGGAGAAAGAAAGAAAAAAGGTCTTTCTTTGGGTGTTTGTTGCATGGTGATCAGTAAAGTAAATTATTGCATGATCTTCTCTTGTGTAGAAAGTACTTCTCTAAAAGTGGCATGTACACTTACCAGGATGATTATGTATAATATATAAAGGTGAATAAAGGCAGTCCTATTCTGGGGCTATCAACTAGACTAAAATATAAACATCTGTGATGGTGCTATATACACATATAGCCTTTTTCATAAACATGTGCAGATGCACAGGTAAATAACAAAAAAGTAAAACGCGTGCACACACACACACACACACACACACACACACACACACACACACACACACACACACACACACACACACACACACACATTCCTACTTTAGTGTGGATACTATAAGTTACATAAATAACAACATTTCTTGAAAATATTCTATGTTTATCTTAATCTACATAACATTTAAACTGTGCTAAACAATATCATGATATATAATAAATAAAACATACAAAGTCAGTGACCCATAATAAAGCATTGCAAATTAATATATCACAAGTAACAGCATAGTCATATTGCATGTTTAAAGTGATTTGGACTTACACATTTTTCTTAACTACCATCTCATATATGTGCAGTAACTTTGTTCAATCTGTCCAGGCCTGTTAGGCCATCAACGTGCAGAAAGGCTTCTTCCGAAAAATTCCCGGTGACTGATCTGTTGATTGTGCTTGGCACGAGGTCCTCCTCTTTTCAAGTCTAGATAATCACACATGCTTTTGACTGAAAGAACAGAAAAAACAAAGAAGAGCATTAAAAGTTCTACACATGATCAATTTAGTGATAGCATTGGCCCTAATACTGTCAGTTTTACCATACTGTAGTGAAACCTGGATGCTATCTTGTTCCCTGGAATCTCGTCTTGATGCCTTTTGTAACATCTATCTATCTATCTGGTAGAAAAACCCACAATGTAAAAACTATATTTATTGAAAATGAGACAACAGGTGGATTCCAAAACTGTTGTCTCATTTTCAATAAATCTAGTTTTTACATTGTGAGTTTTTCTACCGTAGTATCAAAATGGTTGAGTGTTTTCATCATTCAGCTATCTATCTGTTGTTTCAGGATTTTTGTACTCTGCACTTACCCGCTTATGGTCTGATTTGCTCCCTGAGAGTGAAGAATTAATTTCTTCATCTCGAGATTTCACATCTGTTGTGAAGGCTTCTATTGGCGCTTCTACCGCTACTGTCTCTTCATTGTTTGTTCCTTCTATTGACTCTGCAAATACAACACTGACTGTTACACTACTTAGCTGTTGCATTTAAAGGGACTCTATAGGAATACTTTGTTATGAAAGCTTTTATTACACCAATTTTACACTAACAGAGGTCATGTAGTCAGGTATGACAAAAATTGAACTATATACCAGAATAGCCTAGAAACAGTATTTAGCTTGTTATGGAAAGTTAACTGACAATGGATAAATACTCAATAAGAACATAAACCAAGATGATCCTAAAAATCACACTCACACAAAGAAAGAAAGATGATTCAGAAATACATAAATCACATTAAAAAAATCAAAATGATAATGCTGTTGTTACCTAATTCAGCATCTTCCTCCACTAGGTGTTCCCCCGATTCAGGTGAGACGGGCACAGTAGGACTCTCTACATCTGCATCATCTGAGTCTTTTATGGATGGTGTATTTTTCTTTCTTCCCAGTCCGCTAAAGAAACGCGTGAGACGATTTCCTGCAAGCATTGCCATTACATAAATTACTGTTTGTGGAACTGCGGAATAACACTGTGAACACACTTCATAATTCTCTCCTTTTTGTTAATGAATATGTTTCTAGACATGGCTGAATTTCTCCCTCTAACATGTTTGCACAGGGGGGTCCAATAACTTTGACACTGTGGGCCACTTATACATTAAATCATAAGATAATTATTGCTCTTTTAAGTAAGAGCATACAAAATGAGAGTTCAGGCTCTGAGGAGCTGTAGCATGAGAATCTGTATCACTGGAGCAATAAACCATACATCAACATATGCATGATATGTGATAATTTCTAGTGCCCTATGCTTTAACAACACTGAGATTGAGATTGAGATCATCATGGTATTACAGGTGCGATCCAGAATTTGGTATCATCTTCAAACTGGTGTGTATAGATGTATTCTATCCTTGTCAGGTTAATATGAATGCTCACGGAGCCAAAACAACGACAACCAATAACTGCATCATCTCTTAAATATCACACATGACAAAGCCCTGATATCATACCATAAATCCAAGGGACCTGATAGTATTAGAATTTAAATGATAGTATGATGAACTGTAACACAAAGAATCTAACAATTTACATACCACCCACACTCATAATAAAAATCTGTCACCATGAAGAATATCCTTACTAACCTTTCTTTTCAGGTTGATTCTGCTTCTTTGATTCATCTTCCTCAACTGTGTCTGATTCGTCTTCTTTCTCTTCACTTTGAGTGTCTGATTCCTCAGCTGACATACCATTAAAAGCATCATCTGCATTTACTTTCACCTACAAATAGGAAATCATTCTTAACTAATGCCTGTACTTTTCTGATGAAATCATATTGCCATGAGACTGAATATGTACAGTATATGTCTCTAATTGTGTGTGTTTTTATGTGTTCAGACGTGCATTTTGACATCAGTCTTATGCCAAAAAATACTACTATGAAGGAAAGGTAAGCATATTTGTTTAAAAAAACACTCATAATGGTAGGCTAATTAGACAAAACAGTTATGCTTTTGCTGAGGTTCTTACAATATGTGGCTCTCCTTCATCTGGTTGGTCCTGCTCCTCATACTGCTCAACCACAGCCTCTGTATCGGGTACTGTTGGAAGAACTGTGTGTTTGATGGGTGGCAGACCAGCTGACTTCAGTGGGGGCAATACACCCTGAAAGCAATCACATTCTAGTCATATCTCAACCTCAAATCAGTTTTTCTAAAACCATGTAAAGATAAAGTAATAAAATATCAATATATGAAAATGTTTTTCATCTGCATTCACAAGCTCAAATTCTCAAAAATGTCATATCTGTTCCAAAGAAAACAAGCAACAGAATTCTATCTGACTTCACATGCTCAAATTCTCAAACATGTCAAATCTGCTCCAAAGAAAACAAGTAAAAGAATTCTATGAATATATAACACAGAGACCAGTATTTATTGATCTCTTGACACTGTCCTATTTTGCCAAGAAAACCATCAGTGACAATCTAAATTCCATGAGTACATTTAGGCTTCTGAAAGCAACACCACTCTTTGTGCATCACTCTGTATACAATACCGCTGGACTGTCATCAGTCTGGCTCTGCAAAAACAGCAAGGGATGTTTAAGAAATATAAAGTGAAAACTGATAGCTTATCAAGGATTTTGAAAGCTGCAAGTGGTTTCTATGTAGTTCTGAAATGAATGTATTTGCACTTACAACTTAAGAACAAAAATTCATGAAAAAACAAAGATAATAAATAATTTGCTGCAGTCTATACATAGAAACTGCAATTTCAGAGTCCCACATGAGAATACCTATGCATGCATGAATACATCATGTCTTAAATAACAAATGTGTTTTCAGAAATTTCATTTTGGGTTATTTTTTACACACTACAAGGATGACAACAATTTTCTACTGAATAGTTCTCAGAGTAATATATCTATAGCAAAACACACATATACATCTACACATACTCATGAGTATCAACACAAAATGTGTTGTTCATGACAATAGCAGTAGCATCATCATATGACTAAGACTGTGGTTGTCTTCATGAGGAATATGATAATGACGGTGGAAACTGCAATTAACTATTTGCATCCAATGGCAACCTAAGATGTTGGCAACTTCCTGCCATCAGCCTGGGTACTGGCATGAAGAGGTTATTGGCACAGGACGGTTTCTAAAGGAAACACTTTCTCAAATCTGCCTTCTCATTTAGAAATATCAGACCAGCAAATGATCTGCTCCAAATCCTGACATTCTTATTGGAAGGATCTCAGAATGGAAGGCTTACACTTATCAGCTGTTACCACTGTCACGATGACTTTATTTATGGAAAATAAGAGAGTTCTCTAAAATGGTTTTACAGGATTAGAAAGAAAAAAAAAAGTGAAGTAAATATCATATCCATTCTCAGATGGAGGGAGGGAGAGGGAGAGAAGGAAGGAGAGGGAGAAATGAAGTGAGAGAACAAAATAATAGAAGAAAGAAGTAAATATCATATCCATTCTCAGGGGGAGGGAGGGAGAGGGAGAGAAGGAAGGAGAGGAAGAAATGGAATGAGAGAACAAAATAAAAGAGAAACCTAAGGAACTCACGTCTCCAAGTCTCCGTCTTGCCCGAGCACTGCTGGTGGTATTTTGCTCTGGTACTTCATTGTTTTCATCTTCTACAGTAGCTTCCCCTGCTTCCACGCGCCTGTAGCCCAGAACCATTGTGTGACAGCCTCCACAACCAACCTTGTGTGTAAAAAAAAAAAAAGGAAAACTTGAAGGATCAAGTAAAGAGATATACTGTGATATACTGAGAAAAAATACTAATCAAAGTTGGTCACAATAAGAGTACAAAGAAGAGATATTTCTTTTGACAAGCCCAGTAAAAAAATTAGGGACTATGCTATTTATGATGAACAATTTCATTAAAGAAAGCTATTTTCTATACCATGTACTGCCCTGAGCACAGTAGTACACTCCTACTTTCCAGATAAAGTTAAGTTGAACTATAAAGGAAATAATTTTAATAGCATTAATAATAATAATAATAATAATAATAATAATAATAATAATAACAATAACAATAATAATAATAATAATAATAATAATAATGATAATAACAATAATAATGATAATTATAATAACAACAATAATAATAATGATAATGATAATGATAATAATAATAATAATAATAATAATAATAATAAAAATATATAAATAATACTAATAATGAAAATAATAATAAAGATGAAAATAATAAATGATAAAAATAACAATAACAGTAATAATGATAAAATAACTACAACAATATTAACAATAAACATAATAATAATAAAGTACGTAACTTTTTGTTGTTGTTTTCTGTAACTGCCAGCTACAGTAATCACATTTTGAATAAAAGTTTCCTGGAGTTTCCTGAGAAATCCCATATTATATAAACTATTTACTGGCAGAGACCTACCAGTATCACAGAAATGTGTCTTAAACGACGAACTACTATTGGACTAAACTGTGAGGCAAAATTTTCTTCTCCCTGACACAGCTTCCCATGCCGACCACAACCCCAAGACAGCAAGTAACCACAGTCTGAAAGGAGACAAATTAAAATTCTCTCTTTCATTCCATATAAACATTCTATATATATATATATATATATATATATATATATATATATATATATATATATATATATATATATATATATATATATATATATATATATATAGTGAGAGAGAGAGAGAGAGAGAGAGAGAGAGAGAGAGAGAGAGAGAGAGAGAGAGAGAGAGAGAGAGAGAGAGAGAGAGAGAGAGAGAGAGAGAAAGAGAGAGAGAGAGATATAGAGATAGATATAGAGATAGATATAAATATAGATATAAATATATATATATATATATATATATATATATATATATATATATATATATATATATATATATATATATATATATATATATATATATATAGATATATATATATATATAGATATACAGATATACAGATATACAGATATATAGATATATAAATATATAGATAGACAGATAGATAGATAGATAGATAGATAGATAGATAGATATGGATATACACATACATATCATATACATATATGTGCACATAAATACATACATACATATATACACACACACAATTATATGCATATATATATATATATATATATATATATATATATATATATATATATATATATATATATATATATATATATATATATGTATACATATATGTATATGTATACACACACACACACACACACACACACACACACACACACACACACACACACACACACACACACACACACACACACACACACTCATTTTAGATATCACTGAGAGGCACTCACCTGTAATTGCAGCTGAATGGTTGCCTCCAGCCGATATGGAAACCACCGTGTGTGAAGAGGGCTCGTTCACAAGCTGAGGGACCCAAGATTCTAGCCTCCCACCACCCTGGCCCAGTTCTCCACTGCTGCCTAATCCACAAGAATAAACAGCACCACTCTCTGAGGAAATAGAAGTACTCGATGTGATTGCCGCACTCAATAAATATCCTTGGTCTGTAAAAATCACAAAAACATAGACTAAAAGTGAAATTGAAATATATAGTATATAATTTGTTCTACTTACCTGACAAGAAAAGTGTATGTGCACTGCCTGCAGCAACTTGGACAATCTTCTCGGGCAATATGACAGGCTGAGGCTGTCTATGGGACAGTAGTTGGTCTTCTGCCAGTCCAAGCTTTCCGTGATCTGTGTCTCCCCAAGTATAGGCTTCCCCTGACTCTGTTGAGCAGGAGCCATTTTAATAACATTTTAATAACTGTCCAAAAAAAAGAGAAATATCTAAAAGCCATTTATAAATACTGTGTAGAGACATAAAACAAATAACTGACAGTTTTAGGACTATATCATTTTCACTGTTGGACAAGTAAGCAAATCTAAATTTAATTATATACATGAAAAGTAGAGAGAACAATAAAAAAAAGTGTATGAATTTTACATTAATGGACATATTACCTGTAATAGCCACAGTGTGATAATATCCACAAGCAATGCCCACTACATGTTCTGGTAGTGTGAGAAGAGTTGGCATAAAAACTTCTTCAGAATCCAGGCCTAACTGCCCTTCTGTGTTACTTCCCCACACATACAATTCCCCTGTGTCTGCAACACAAAACTGACATTAGAGAGAGAGAAGGGGAGAGAGAGAGAAAGGGAGACAGAGAGAGAGAAAGGGAGACAGAGAGAGTGAAAGGGAGAGAGAGAGAGAGAGAGAGAGAGAGAAGAGAGAGAGAGAGAGA